CTTGACGCCTTGATAAGTTCCTTTCCTGAGGATGGCTCACCCCTCACAGTTCTGGGTGACTTTAACCTCCCTACGTCTACCTTTGACTCATTTCTCTCTGCCTCCTTCTTTCCACTCCTCTCCTCTTTTGACCTCACCCTCTCACCGTCTCCCCCTACTCACAAGGCATGCAATACGCATGACCTCATCTTTTCTAGATGCTGTTCTTCTACTAATCTCACTGCAACTCCCCTCCAAGTCTCCGACCACTACTTTGTATCCTTTTCTCTCTCGCTCTCCTCCAACACTACTCACTCTGCCCCTACTCAGATGGTAATGCGCCGTCGCGACCTTTGCTCTCTCTCTCCCGCTACTCTCTCCTCTTCCATCCTATCATCTCTTCCCTCTGCTCAATCCTTCTCCCTCCAATCTCCTGATTCTGCCTCCTCAATCCTCCTCTCCTCCCTTTCTGCATATTTTGACTCTCTATGTCCCCCTATCCTCCCGGCCGGCTCGGTCCTCCACTCCTGCTCCATGGCTTGACGACTCATTGCGAGCTCACAGAACAGGGCTCCCGGGCAGCCGAGCGGAAATGGAGGAAAACTAGACTCCCTGCCGACCTGTCATCTTTTCACTCCCTCCTCTCTACATTTCTTCCTCTGTTTTCTGCTGCTAAAGCCACTTTCTACCACCTCTAAATTTCAAGCTTCTGCCTCTAACCCTAGGAAGCTCTTTGCCACCTTCTCCTCCCTGCTGAATCCTCCTCCTCCTCCCCCTCCCTCCTCCCTCTTTTTGGATTACTTCGTCAACCATTTTGGTAAAGAAGGTTGATGACATCCAATCCTCATTTATTAAGTCAAATGACACCGCTGGTCCTGCTCACACTGCCCTACCCTATGTGCTTTGACTTCTTTCTCCCCTCTCTCTCCAGATGAAATCTTGCGACAACCTGCCCGCTTGACCCTATCCCCTCCTCTCTTCTCCAGACCATTTCCGGAGACCTTCTCCCTTACCTCACCTCGCTCATCAACTCATCCTTGACCACTGGCTATGTCCCTTCCGTCTTCAAGAGTGCGAGAGTTGCACACCTTCTCAAAAACCTACACTCGATCCCTCCGATGTCAACAACTACAGACCAGTATCCCTTCTTTCTTTTCTCTCCAAAACTCTTGAGCGTGCCGTCTTTAGCCAACTCTCTTGTTATCTCTCTCAGAATGACCTTCTTGATCCAAACCAGTCAGGTTTCAAGACTGGTCATTCAACTGAGACTGCTCTTCTCTGTGTCACGGAGGCTCTCCGCACTTCTAAAGCTAACTCTCTCTCCTCTGCTCTCATCCTTCTAGACCTATCTGCTGCCTTTGATACTGTGAACCATCAGATCCTCCTCTCCACCCTCTCCGAGTTGGGCATCTCCGGCGTGGCTCACTCTTGGATTGCGTCCTACCTTACAGGTTGCTCCTACCAGGTGGCATGGCGCGAATCTGTCTCCGCACCACGTGCTCTCACCACTGGTGTCCCCCAGGGCTCAGTTCTAGTCCCTCTCCTATTCTCTCTATACACCAAGTCACTTGGCTCTGTCATATCCTCACATGGTCTCTCCTATCATTGCTACGCAGACGATACACAATTAATCTTCTCCTTTCCCCCTTCTGATAACCAGGTGGCGAATCACATCTCTGCATGTCTGGCAGACATATCAGTGTGGATGACGGATCACCACCTCAAGCTGAACCTTGGCAAGACGGAGCTTGCTTTTCCTCCAGGGGAATGACTGCCCGCTCCATGATCTCGCCATCATTGTTGACAACTCTGTTGTGTCCTCCTCCCAGAGTGCAAAGAACCTTGGCATGACCCTGGACAACACCCTGTCGTTCTCCGCTAACATCAAAGCGGTGACCCGATCCTGTAGGTTCATGCTCTACAACATTCACAGAGGACGACCCTACCTTACACAGGAAGCGGCACAGGTCCTAATCCAGGCACTTGTCATCTCCTGTCTGGATTACTGCAACTCGCTGTTGGCTGGGCTCCCTGCCTGTGCCATTAAACCCCTACAAACTCATCCAGAACGCTGCAGCCCGTCTGGTGTTCAACCTTCCCAAGTTCTCTCACGTCACCCCGCTCCTCCGCACACTCCACTGGCTTCCAGTTGAAGCCCGCATCTGCTACAAGACCATGGTGCTTGCCTACGGAGCTGTGAGGGGAACGGCACCTCCGTACCTTCAGGCTCTGATCAGTCCCTACACCCAAACGAGGGCATTGCGTTCATCCACCTCTGGCCTGCTGGCCCCCCTACCTCTGCGGAAGCACAGTTCCCGCTCAGCCCAGTCAAAACTGTTCGCTGCTCTGGCACCCCAATGGTGGAACAAGCTCCCTCACGACGCCAGGACAGCGGAGTCACTCACCACCTTCCGGAGACACTTGAAACCCCACCTCTTTAAGGAATACCTGGGATAGGATAAAAGTAATCCTTCTACCCTCCCGCTACCCCCCCAAATTTTTTTTATTTTATATATTGTAAAGTGGTTGTCCCACTGGCTATCATAAGGTGAATGCACCAATTTGTAAGTCGCTCTGGATAAGAGCGTCTGCTAAATGACGAAAATGTAAATGTAAATGTGAGCCAGCGGCTCCATAGCGAGCAGCAGCAGCTTGAGATTTTAATCTCTAGCTAACATTGTATTGTAAACATTGTGGCTAATGCTAATGCTGACTGTTGATAGTGACCACATCCTCAGGATGCTTCATCTCATCACACCCACACCTGACAATGCACACATAGTGCAGAACATGCAATCTGTTATGTAGCCTCATGTTCATTCAGACACATTCACATGAACAGATGCAACACCACACAGCCCCACCCAGAGTATGGTTCCTCTGTAGATTTCTTCCCTGTAGGGATTTTTTCCTGGCCACTGTCACAGCTATAATCAGTGCTTTCAGGAGTCTTTGGACCATTGATTCTTTGTTTTCACTTTTCAGTTGTACTGTACATTGGATCTCACAACGTATCTTACACTTTGTTCTTGTGACAGACTTGTGACTTCAATTTCATCACCTCTGTTTCTTCCTGTTCTTCTAGTGTAATCAGAGGAGAAAATCTGAAGTTTTATAGGGAACTGGAGCTTCTATAAATGATAGCACAATAGCTCTATGAACTCAGTCCCAAGCCACTAGACTAGATCGTTAGATAAAATAGTTCTCCTTGTCCTTTGTTGTCTGGCCTAACTCTTACTCACATTGTTAAATAGTAACACAATGTCATAATCTTTACTGGTCCTACACTCACACATTCTAACACATTTCACACAGTTTCAGGGTGTAATAATGAGTCATTAATAATTAATCTATCAAATAGATATGGTGCATTTACTCGGATAGTCCTATCGCTGTTGGAGCCTTCTAAATTCTGTGCTGAACAACAGCTAGTCATGAGCAAGGAATTACAATTTCCTCTGTCTTGATCGTCTAATATGGACACATATTAATAACAATGAGCTTTTCAGGATGTTGGCTGTCCGTAAAGTTCATGAATGTTGTGATAAGCAAATCTTTGTAATGAACTGAAACTGTAATTGCCAAACAAGCTATGTAGAATTACTATGATTTTAGACTACAGAGTCTTTTAGCCTACTCTCACGTGTGGTGCGCTGTGAAATTGTATTTGTTAATGCAAATTTGTAAGATTTTAAAAGAAATACTGGGAGCCCAGAAGTACTTTCGGTCACACTTTATTTGGATAGTCCAGATAGTCCATTTGTAGATGCTCTACAGAGAGGTCATACTATCAACACACTATTTGTTGACAAGCAACTGCTTGCTAAGGTTAGGGTTAGGGTTAGAATAAGGGTTGGGTTAAGGTTAGGGTTGGGATAAGGTTTAGGGTTAAGATAGTTGAAATGTTAGTGATAGTCTGTAGTGTCCATCTGTAGATGGTTTACAGACTATCCAAATAAAGTTGTTACCAGACTTTAAAAAATATGTGATGCATTGCCAATTATTGTTAAAGCTAGTTATTGTAAAGAATGAGGGAATAACAAGCTTCACAGTCCTTTTACAAGGCTGGTAACCATGTGAGGAACTTGATGACTTCTCAACTGCCAGCTACTGAACTATTAACAGAGATGAGTGGGTTATAAAGTTAATGGACCTCTGGTATTAATGTTGCAGTAACTGGAACTCTATGTTTGTGATGCAATTAAAATGTGTTGTGTAGCACGCTGTACTGCATTCTCAAATGTAAATATGATATAACAGATATATTGTTATTGAAATACCTTTTTTTTTGTTTCACAATAAATGTTTTATTAAGGCTTCCGTTAAAAGATTCTGAGAAAGATCACTATCAGTGTCTTGCAAATGAGTGAAGACAAACAGAAAAATAACACTTTTCAAACCTCTTTACTTTTTTATAAGTCAAATCTAGATTCTCTTCAAATATTAAACAAACTCGAACTCTCTTTAGGCCAGTTTTCTCTGACACCAATTTAACATAGTCCTGGACGAAAAAGCATGGTCAATGGAGTATCTCTTGAAATAGTTTTTAAGTCCAGGACTAGGTTTAATCTGTGTCTGGGAAACTGCCCCACATTGTTTTAGAGTGAGCAAAGGAGGATGTATCTCTTCTGTTATCTACAGTATGTGGTTTATCAAGCAGGGCTATTTTAGTGTTACATTCATGTCACATATGCATATGTTGTTCCTGTCCTTGGGTAAGTCCCCATCACCCTCTCTCACGACAAGGTGTAGGTATCATCCCAAGGTGGTGTAGGTATCATGCCAAGGTGGCGTAGGTATCATCCCAAGGTGGTGTTTAGGTATCATCCCAAGGTGGAGGAGGTATCATCCCAAGGTGGCGGAGGTATCATCCAAGGTGGCGTAGGTATCATCCCAAGGTGGCGTAGGTATCATCCCAAGGTGGCGGAGGTTATCATCCCAAGGTGGCGGAGGTATCATCCCAAGGTGGGGTAGGTATCATCCCAAGGTTACGTAGGTATCATCCCAAGGTGGGGTAGGTATCATCCCAAGGTGGCGTAGGTATCATCCCCTGTCATGTAGGCGGGGTACAGGTCGGTGTAGGCTTGGTTGGTTTCATCACAGTTCATGTAGACTTCTCCCTCATCCCCAGCCTGGGCCTGGGGCTGACTCCTCCCCCTAGTGGATGACAACAGACACATGATCAACATAGTGATCAGCTAATTATAATCTCATACACAGGAAGACACAAGTAAAACACACAGATATGATTCTTCATCATACTCTTACTTTGGTGGTTTTTCAGGTCCAGTAAATCCTGGAAGTGCCTTTACTTGGGTTGTCTAAATAACAACCCATTACTTCCTGTAACTACAGTAGCCTACATATTACAATTATTACTAGTATAGCTCAAGACTTGGCAGAACTGTTGATACAGTGCAGTACACTTGACAGTGTCACTCACCTTTGGTGGCCAGGGTCTCTTGACCGGCCCTCTCTTTGGCCCGCTGCCTCCAGAGCCACAGCAGCACCAAGAGCAGTAAGACCCCGGCAAGGAGAACCAGTACCAACCCTGTCACTCCTGCGTACACACTGCCTAAGGGAAGAAGAGGAACACTCAATTGAACTGTATTGACATTGATGTGCCACAGGCTTACACTAAAATCAAATACTTTATAAACCTATGCTATAAAGTACTACTGTGCATCAAATATTGATACATTCATTGAATAGCAGGGTTCGGCAACATATAAAACTATTGATAAATGCAATCCAATGTTATAAAACCAGAATAATGACATGATAATGTGAGAGGCACCATCCCAGTACATTATATTTTATTTTGGTACATTGTCACTCTCACACCACCATTACCACACATCATCCTCATCAGCTGTAATTCTCTACTAATGGAACAAATCTCATTATCGTTCATCATTTCCTCAAACTGAGCTGTTCTCCATCTTGAGCTGAGAGGAAGCTAAATGTACTGCCCACTCTCCCTTGCCAGTCTCAGGGTCAGCTCTCACCTGATGCCCACTTCCTGCCACCCACCCTGCTCATCCAACCTGCTCCAGCTCCAGACGACAGAGGGAGGGTGGGAGGTGGCTTGACAGTACAGGGTGACACTCTGCCCCTCCATGGTTACCAGGTCCTTGGGTGTGGATGACACCCTCACATTGGAGAGTCTCTCTAGGGAGATAGGAGGGGACATGGAGAACTACTTTGTGGTACTGAAATACACACAGATTACAGATCCAGACTTAACTCTTAGAAAAAGGGTTCCAAAAGTGTTATTTGGCTGTCCCCATATGAGAACCCATTTTGGTTCCAGGTAGAACCCTTTTGGGTTCCATGTAAAACCCTCTGTTTAAAAGGTTCTATATGGAACCCCAAAAAAATATTCCTGGAACCAAATGTGTTCTACCTGGAACCATAAAGTGTTCTTCAAAGGGTTATTCTATGGGGACAGCCGAAGAACCCTTTAAGGTTCTAGATAGCACCCACTTATTTGAATCAAAATGACCCCATAACCTTAACCTCAACCACATGGTTGAATCAGTGTTTGAAATTCGCTGCTTGACTGAGGGACTTTGCAGATAAATGTGTGTGTGGGGTACATAAATGAGGTAGTCATTGAAAAATCATGTTAAACACTACTTAGGTGACTTGTTTAGCAAATGTCTACTCCTGAACTTATTAAGGCTTGCCATAACAAAGGGATTGAATACTTATTGACTCAAGACATTTCAGTTTTTCATTTTTTATTAATTTGTGAAGAATGTTTTTTTTTTAAATAATTCCACTTTGACATTATGGGGTATTGTGTGTAGACCAGTGACAAAAAAAATCAATTTAATCAATTTTAATGTGGAAAAAGCCAAGGGGGTGAATATTTTCACGGCCCATAGGAATCTGGTTAAAAGTCATGCACTGTGCAGTGAACAGTTTTGACTGGGCTGAGCGGGAACTGTGCTTCCGCAGAGGTAGGGGGGCCAGCAGGCCAGAGGTGGATGAACGCAATGCCCTCGTTTGGGTGTAGGGACTGATCAGAGCCTGAAGGTACGGAGGTGCCGTTCCCCTCACAGCTCCGTAGGCAAGCACCGTGGTCTTGTAGCAGATGCGAGCTTCAACTGGAAGCCATTGGAGTGTGCGGAGGAGCGGGGAGAAGTGAGAGAACTTGGGAAGGTTGAACACCAGACGGGCTGCGGCATTCTGGATGAGTTGTAGGGGTTTAATGGCACAGGCAGGGAGCCCAGCCAACAGCGAGTTGCAGTAATCCAGACGGGAGATGACAAGTGCCTGGATTAGGACCTGTGCCGCTTCCTGTGTAAGGCAGGGTCGTACTCTCCGAATGTTGTAGAGCATGAACCTACAGGATCGGGTAACCGCCTTGATGTTAGCGGAGAACGACAGGGTGTTGTCCAGGGTCACGCCAAGGCTCTTCGCACTCTGGGAGGAGGACACAACGGAGTTGTCAACCGTGATGGCGAGATCATGGAACGGGCAGTCCTTCCCCGGGAGGAAGAGCAGCTCCGTCTTGCCAAGGTTCAGCTTGAGGTGGTGATCCGTCATCCACACTGATATGTCTGCCAGACATGCAGAGATGCGATTCGCCACCTGGTTATCAGAAGGGGAAAGGAGAAGATTAGTCTGCGTAGCAATGATAGGAGAGGCCATGTGAGGATATGACAGAGCCAAGTGACTTGGTGTATAGCGAGAATAGGAGAGGGCCTAGAACTGAGCCCTGGGGGACACCAGTGGTGAGAGCACGTGGTGTGGAGACAGCATCTCGCCACGCCACTTGGTAGGAGCGACCGGTCAGGTAGGACGCAATCCAAGAGTGAGCCGCGCCGGAGATGCTCAGCTCGGAGAGGGTGGAGAGGAGGATCTGATGGTTCACAGTATCAAAGGCAGCAGACAGGTCTAGAAGGACAAGAGCAGAGGAGAGAGAGTTAGCTTTAGCAGTGCGAAGAGCCTCCTTGACACAGTGAAGAGCAGTCTCAGTTGAATGGCCAGTCTTGAAACCTGACTGGTTTGGCTCAAGAAGGTCATTCTGAGAGAGATAGCAAGAGAGTTGGCTAAAGACGGCACGCTCAAGAGTTTTGGAGAGAAAAGAAAGAAGGGATACTGGTCTGTAGCTGTTGACATCGGAGGGATCGAGTGTAGGTTTTTGAGAAGGGGTGCAACTCTCGCTCTCTTGAAGACGGAAGGGACATAGCCAGTGGTCAAGGATGAGTTGATGAGCGAGGTGAGGTAAGGGAGAAGGTCACCGGAGATGGTCTGGAGAAGAGAGGAGGGGATAGGGTCAAGCGGGCAGGTTGTTGGGCGGCCAGCCGTCACAAGTCGCAAGATTTTATCTGGAGAGAGGGGAGAAAGAAGTCAAAGCATAGGGTAGGGCAGTGTGAGCAGGACCAGCAGTGTCATTTGACTTAACAAACGAGGATCGGATGTCGTCAACCTTCTTTTCGAAATGGTTGACGAAGTCATCCACAGAGAGGGAGGAGGGGGGGAGGGGGAGGAGGATTCAGCAGGGAGGAGAAGGTGGCAAAGAGCTTCCTAGGGTTAGAGGCAGATGCTTGGAATTTAGAGTGGTAGAAAGTGGCTTTAGCAGCAGAAACAGATGAAGAAAATGTAGAGAGGAGGGAGTGAAAATATGCCAGGTCCGCAGGTAGTCTAGTTTTCCTCCATTTCCGCTCGGCTGCCCGGAGCCCTGTTCTGTGAGCTCGCAATGAGTCATCAAGCCACTGAGCTGGAGGGGAGGACCGAGCCGGCCGGGAGGATAGGGGACATAGAGAGTCAAAGGATGCAGAAAGGGAGGAGAGGAGGGTTGAGGAGGCAGAACAGGAGATTGGAGGGAGAAGGATTGAGCAGTGGGAAGATATGATAGGATGGAAGAGGAGAGAGTAGCGGGAGAGAGAGAGCGAAGGTTGCGACGGCGCATTACCATCTGAGTAGGGGCAGAGTGAGTAGTGTTGGAGGTGAGCGAGTGAGAAAAGGATACAAAGTAGTGGTCGGAGACATGGAGGGGAGTTGCAGTGAGATTAGTAGAAGAACAGCATCTAGTAAAGATGAGGTCAAGCGTATTGCCTGCCTTGTGAGTAGGGGGGGACGGTGAGAGGGTGAGGTCAAAAGAGGAGAGGAGTGGAAAGAAGGAGGCAGAGAGAAATGAGTCAAAGGTAGACGTAGGGAGGTTGAAGTCCCCCAGAACTGTGAGGGGTGAGCCATCCTCAGGAAAGGAACTTATCAAGGCGTCAAGCTCATTGATGAACTCTCCAAGGGAACCTGGAGGGCGATAAATGACAAGGATGTTAAGCTTAAATGGGCTAGTGACTGTGACAGCATGGAATTCAAATGAGGAGATAGACATATGGGTCAGGGGAAAAATAGAGAATGTCCACTTGTGAGAGATGAGGATTCCTGTGCCACCACCCCGCTGACCAGATGCTCTCGGGGTATGCGAGAACACATGGTCAGACGAGGAGAGAGCAGTAGGAGTAGCAGTGTTTTCAGTGGTAATCCATGTTTCCGTCAGCGCCAAGAAGTCGAGGGACTGGAGGGTAACATAGGCTGAGAAGGGGAAAGGGTGCCATTTGGAACACAGACCAAGGCTATGACAGGTGACCGGGGCTCTGGGGGATGTTTGACACATCCTATCTCCCTTGACGTTGGATTCACTGTCAATATACTGCAGGAATTGTGACATATGGAAAATAACTTGTTTTATTTTCTGGTTTAGTCTTGGAAAAGTTTATTTCATCTTTCTGGTAAACTTCACAGTATGAGAGCAGGCTGTCCTCTGTAGGATGTGTCCCACATGGCACCTTGTTCCCTATACAGTGCACTCCTTTTGACCAGGGTCCTGGGCTCTGGTCAAAACTAGTGCACTATGTAGAGAATATTGGTACCATTTGGGACGCACCCTAGAAGGTTGCCTCTATTTGTGGGAGCCAATGAGATTGGCCTTTGTCATGGTTTTATTAAATCACAGACAACCTAGGACATTTCTCTTGTGTTATATGATTCTTTTGAAATTGTCTGCAATCTTCTCACCTCAGAGTGGGTGATCACACTTTCCTGACATTGTAATTCCTTACTGGTTGGCCTTGCTGTTTTTTCCCCTTTAGACGTCTTCTGGCTGTTTCTTACAGCAGTAGCTACTTCTGAAACGACTGCACCACCTGCATCACAAGTCCGTTTCAAGCACTCTGTGACAATGACACATTTAGCCATAATGTTTCATGGTGAGGTATATTAACATTAAGAAAAGTTATAAGCAAGGTTTGTTATCACACACACAGGACTCCTGCTGGACTACTTTCAGGCCTCGAGTCTCAACCTGCTGAGAAGAGCCTTCATGCTAAGCTATCTTGTCTCCGTTCAGATTCGATGAAAGCCAAAGTAGATGTTTTCACTGTGAGAGAGTTGAGAGATGATAATTCTCATCCCCCCTGTTCCTGCATTGTCACACTTCCTGTTAAATGGGCAATCCGGAATTGGTACATCAATATTTTGACTTAAATTAATTATTTATAGCCATTGATTCTTTAAGAATATGACTTATAAATGTGTGTCTTTGTGTGTGTGTGTGCGTGTGTGTGTGAATGTGTGTGAATGTGTGCGGGTGTGTGTGTGCGTGTGTGAATGTGTGTGAATGTGTGCGGGTGTGTGTGTGCGTGTGTGTGAATGTGTGCGGGTGTGTGTGTGCGTGTGTGTGAATGTGTGCGGGTGTGTGTGAGACTGTCTTCCCTCCAAGACTTTAATTGTTTTGTCTGTGCCACTGTAGTTACGCTGCCTGCCTCCTACCTACCATCCATATACCACAGTCCTGGCTGTCGCTATGGGGACCACACTGTCAGCCACCACCACATTTCACCCAGAGGTCTCTGACGTGGTCCCAGTGGCCGGCTGTAACTAGTTCTGATGTCATGGGGATTTTTCCCTGTTAATATGTAGTTCCTATTGCAGCATGGGACGGTGAAAATGAATGAGTTCTCATAAACGTACGGAAACTCAACTAGCTCATTAGAAATAGGCCTAAGTGCCACTGCTGCTTACATGGAAATGCATCCACTGTGTGAGCTGTGCAAATGGAAATGTGATGTGTTCTGCGTGTCTCCACTAGCTCTGTCCCCTCCCATG